AAAGGTTAGGGTTTTTTTACCTCTTGAAGACTGGGCGTTTTGCTTAGTAATCTTAGAGAAGTAAGTCTGAAATCAACAAAAGAGAAGAATCGTTATTTCAACTTCGGTTTGCAAAATTATTCGATGTAGAACAGAAATTGCCAAAGCTAGAGTTTCAGGGTGGTTATGGTGAATTTTTTTGAAAATGATTCGAAAATGGTGAAATTTGTTCATTTTTGAGGTATATATACCTCAATGAATAGTGTCGATTGATTTGACAATTCGTGCATGCAATCCAACAGTTGGGAAAAACCGCCTTTTGAACATTTCATATTCGATGATCGACACGTGTCCCACTACTTTTTTACTTTTCCTGCCCAAACCCCTGTCTGTGTACACAATGTTTTTTCAATTGAGCAAAGTACTATTGGTACTTAGCTCACTTTGGGGGCAAATCAGAGATTTTTTTACAAAATATCATGTTTTTTCAATTGAGCAAAGTACTATCGGTAATTAGCTCACTTTGGAGGCAAATCGGAGATTTTTTACAAAATCTCATGTTTTTTCAATTGAGCAAAGTACTATCGGTACTTAGCTCACTTTGGGGGAAAATTGGAGATTTTTTTTACAAAATCTCATGTTTTTTCAATTTAGCAAAGTACTATCAGTAATTATCGCACTTTGGGGGCAAATCGGAGATTTTTACAAAATCTTATGTTTTTTTCAATTGAGCAAAGTACTATCGGTACTTAGCTCACTTTAGGGGCAAATCAGAGATTTTTTTTTTACAAAATCTCATGTTTTTCAATTGAGCAAAGTACTATCGGTACTTAGCTCACTTTGGGGGTAAATCGGAGATTTTTTACAAAATCTCATGTTTTTTCATTTGAGGAAAGTACTATCGGTACTTAGCTCACTTTGGGGGCAAATCAAAGATTTTTTTTACAAAATCTCTTTTTTTTCAATTGAGCAAAGTACTATCGGTACTTAGCTCACTTTGGGGGCAAATCAGAGATTTTTTAATCTCAAACTTCTTATCGGAATGCAACCGCACATCAGGGATTTATAAAGTGAGCCCTTTCGTTTTACAGACGCCCTCACTTAAAGGGCTTGTAGTACAGGATAGCGCCGACACCGTCAACAATTAGCTGCACATAAACATTTTTATCGACAATCAAGTCTTGATTAGTATACCGGCTTAACATCCATGTCGGCCTTTTCCTAGCCACGTGGAGAGCTGCTTCAAGCCACATAAGCACTTGTTGCCTACAAAGACGGTCTACCACCTATGTTGATAGGTGGCACCAGCTTGGTTACCTTCCTATAAATACCCAAGCATATTTCCATCATAAGGTACAATCTCTCTCTCTCTCTCTCTCTCTCTCTCTCTCTCTCTCTCTCTCTCTCTCTCTACATCTTTATCTCTTTCTCTCTCTAGAAATACTTTCTTACCTTCTCATTTATTCTTCTCATCAAATTGCTAACTTTAGCATCGGAGTGGTTATTCCCAAATAACCCCCGAGCTAGCTAATTTGTGTTGACTGTGCAGGAGCGGAATTGGACGGTTAAGCTTTACCAACCCCCAAGGATTAACAGAACTGGAGCTATCCGAAACATATATATGTAAGTATTTAACGTTAAACTTGTACATTAAAAACATGTATTCTAACCAAATTGTTACACGTATTTAGAAACAGAGGGAGTATACTGTAATTGTTTAATATTCACTCTCTCAGCCATACGTACATATTATATCCACCTTGTGTATTTTCCTCGAAAATACAGTCAAATAGAAAACAAACTAACATGGAAAAGCAAATAATAAACAAATTATAGTATCACGTACAATCGGAGTAGGTTAGTTTTAACATTGTTAATTTCCATCTTATCTTATAAAAAATAATCTAAGATGTTGATATAATTGGAATGAAATACCATTTGTTCAAATAGACTATATCATCTCAATTGCATAGCACATGTAATGTTGGTAGTTGATAAGGATAGTAAATTGGTTCCGTTATTTTCCATGAATTATGGTGTCTTTATGCTAGTGGAACCAAAAAATTTACTCACTAGATTACTTTTAGCCGTTCTTAACATCATCAATTTTCTAAAGTTATATGACCATTAAACGAATGAAGACATCAATTCCATGTCTTTTATGCACTTTTTTTGTCTTTTATCATACCCTAACAAGTAGCAATCGATTAGTAGTTGTCTAAACCCATACTTAGTTTCGTTTTAGTCGAGATAGTGTTCGAGCTATCTCGAGCTTGGCTGGTTAAGGATTTGACTTGTTCGAGCTTTGTTCACGAATCTGCTCATTTGTATTTTGACAAGTTTAAGCTTGAGCTTGGACAAGCTTAATAATATAGACGAGCCCTAATTTATTCTTTCAAGTTTTAATACATCCGCTTAATTTTATATAAGTTTTCATTCTTTCTGCAGAAAACAATAATGTTAGATTTTTCATGTCTATATAAGATGAAATAATTTGTACCTGTTACAAATATGCATGAGTAAAAAAATATAAATATACTAAAGTTAATATAAAAAAAATTATTCAAGCTTGAGCGAGCTTTGACCGATTTATAATCAATTGCGTACTTATAAATGAACTTAAACGATTAGCCCTTAGCGCATATATGGTATTTGTTAGCAAACTTTTATAGGATGTAAAAAGTACCATTACATGCATAATAAGTGACAAGTGGTAAGTATTTTGGGGAAAAATATTCAGCCTATAGGATGGTAAAAGTACCACTACATACATAATAGTACACAAAAAGTACGATTAAGACAACTTATACTTTAATGGTATATTATACATGCATAATAGTAAGGAAAATTTGATTCTAATAATCCAACCTTTCGTCGGTCTTATTTTATTAATCCCACCTTTCGATTATTGCTCATTAATCCCACCTTTAGGGGGCATCTCATTCTATTAGGCCAACCTGACTGGTTACCTATTATACAGGTAATTTTATTTTTTTTTCAATTTTTTTAACAAAACAGAAAGGATTTAAAATAAAAATTAAATTTAAAAAGCCTCAGCAACAACCCATGACCCCACCTTCCCCTAAGCCACTCCCAAGTCCCCCATGGATTCCGGCAGCCTTATTGTCACCCAATTCCGGCCAATCCTTCCCCCTAACTTTCCTTTTCCGACTCCCCTTTCCTCTCTCTTTCCACTGTTCCGACCAACCTTCGTTGGAAACCCTAAACAACCTTCCGGCCACTCTTTCCCTCCCCCTAACCGCCCTTTTCCGACCAACTTGTCCCTTTTCCCCTCTCTTTTCGGCCAACACTCAAAAATCTCTGAAAATCCTGAAACCCTTGAAATTCGAAACCCCACCCACTGAAATTAAGAAGAGAAATTAGGTTGGGGTTTCGGGTTTCAGCCGGACTATATAACAGGGCGGCAAGGGGGAGATCTTGGTCGTGGTTGGTGACCCATCGAAACTCTTGAATTCCGAAACCCCGCCCATTGAAACTGGAAAAGGGAAACTAGGTGGGGGTTTGGTCGTGATTGGGGTGGCTAGAGAAGTAGGGAAGGGCAGGAGGGTAGCTGGGGAAGGGCGGTAGAGGTGGCTGGTTGGGGTGGCTCGGAGTGTAGTATCAGGTTTCATGGAGGTGAGGGGCAGGAAAGAGGGTAAAAAAAGGATTAAAAAAATTTTAAAAAAAAATCAACCAACCGTAGTAAGACACGTGGACAGGTAACGCATTGTAGAAGGTGGGATAACCGGTTAGGCCGGATAAAATAGAAAAGGGTGTAAAGGTGGGATTAATCAGCAATAATCGAAAGGTTGGTAATAAAATAAGACCAGTGAAAGGTTGGATTATTAGAATCAAATTTTCTTAATAGTATATAATGATACATTATAATGTACCATTGTAGAATTAGCTTTTTTTTCCAAAAGTTTGCCAAGTTTACCTTTTTACCCTCCTATATGCTTTGTAAATACATAGCAGCTATACACTGAGATTGTGGTCAGGATGTTACACGCAACATGTGAAGGAGGTTGTACAGACTGCTCATTGGGCCTTGCCTAGGTTTAGAGTACCAGGTCCAGTTGTGCGTAGTGTAATGCTGGCAGCGTTTTTTAGTGTTTGCTGTGCATCTTAAGTATGTCCAAATGCTAATTTTGTGTTGGTGCGTATTAGTTAGGATTTTTTATTATTATTAAGATTTATTTCAAAATATTCAAATGTTACCGGCAAAAGTCATTCTTCGGCCGTTTCTTTTTAGTTGACATGTTAATTTACTCACATTTATCGATGTACAAATTCAACCGTTAATATCTTTAATAATCGATTACTTAAAAATATAAAAGGTTGATATTTTGAAAATATACATCGCGACGAATCTAACAAGACCTCACATGACTATATTTATCATTACGTATAAATCACAAAATACGGTGAAAGAGAAATGTAAATAGTGTTCAAGTCAAAACGTGTCAACTAAAAAACTTGAAGGTAATATATAATAATTTTTTTTTTTTTTTAAAAAAAAAAAAAAAAAAAAAAAAAAAAAAAAAAAAAAAAACACCTATTATAAGAAAAACTTTTTTTTTTTGAACGAGTTATAAGAAAAACTTGATAATGAAAAAAAATCTCATTAACAAATGCAGCATTATCAATAAATGAAACCATTCATGAACACTAACTTTCAGAAAAACAAAAGCTCAAGGTCAAGAGACTCGCCTAAGTTAAATGAGCATGAACAAAATAGTAATCAATTCAACTCGGCTTGTTCACACCTCTAGTTAAAAGACAAATTAGGAAATCTAGTACCAAACAAAATCAACTCTAGCACAGATAATATCCGATTTACCAATTCCTAATTATAAACAACATAATACCAAGGTCTCAATCTTCCCCTATAGAAATCAGAACAAGCAACAAATCAATTATAAATTCTTTATTGATTACCTTAAACCACTCAAAATCGCAAACCAATAAGAAGAAAAAAAAAACAGTATTGGTAAGAAATTTGCATGGAAATTGAAAGCGGGTCGAGACAGAAAGCTTTCCAATGGAATAAACATATAGAACCATTCTACTAAAGTACAATACACTGTAGTATTTTTCCAACTTTAAAAAAATTTAAATTCCAGACTCTAATCTTTATGGTACACAATATGGGTACAGAAGACATGATCCTACGCTAGCTACTGAACTACAATTATTACAAATACAAATCTTCGACCAGCTCCAAATAAAACTCAAAATTGTGAAAAAGGCCTTGTAAATGGTAACCTATCCCCAAAAAAGAAAAGTTTTATAAAATGGAAGGACTAACCTTCCTTTCCTGAAATATACGATGGATAAACCTAGGCGAAAGCCAAGTCATCCCAGCAGCCTGGTGTCATGCCCAATTGCCCATTCTTGCTCCATGAGAAAACCAATACAGGACACCTTTGTTCCATAAATTCTTGTGACACAGCCACATTTACTTTCTCCGTATTTGTTTTTTTTACTTTCACAATTCTACGGCTTGCTTTATCCACACCACCACTACCTAATGAAAAGCTCCCAGCCCCACCAGCATTAAATTCTAGACTACCAGAGGGCTGAAATGGTGTGTTCTGGGGAGCAAATTGATTCTGCTGGCCGGAAAATTGAAATGGGCTTCCTGCAGATGGAGCTGCTGCTCCATTGAACACAAAATTGCTTGATGGTGCTGAAATTGGCTGACCAAAAACTGGTGCTGCTGGTGTGGAAACTTGCACAGAATCCTCAGCCATACTGTCTTCCATGCTCATTCGATCATTAATTCCAGCAGGGGGCGTCAAACCAAATGCAAATGGTGAGGTAGAGCTAGCAAATGCCGGCTGAGATGAAAATGTTGTACTCAGAGCAGATGTGGAAGCTGCAGCAGAAGGGACTGAGAAAACGGAGGCTGTGGATGAACCAGCCCCAAATGAAAACACTCCACTGTTGGCTGCTGGAGAGCTAGAGATAGCTACAAACACATTTGGGTTGCTATTACTAGCTGCAGAGGTACTGGAGGTAGCTCCAAACACAAGTGGGGTGCTGATACTAGCCGCAGAGGAGCTGGAAGTAGCTCCAAAAATCAGTGTGCTATTACTAGCTCCGGAAGTCCCAGAGGCTGTCGATCCAAAATTAAACCCAGTAATTTGAGATGATGAGCCAAACATAGAACCAGAGGTGGCAGGTTTAGACGATTGCAAACCAAATATGGTGGATGATGTATTACTACTAGAGCTAACAGGTGCAGTCACTGAAGGGAAACCAACACTAGATACGAACCCTGAGCCAGTAGTGAAATGGTTAGAACCAATGCTTACAGAAGCACTACCATTAACACTAGGAGGTGCACTAAACCCAAAAATATTAGATGAAGGTGAGGAAGCAGATTGACTTGAGAAATTTGGTGTCGAACTTGAGAATGCAACAGCAGATGATGATGCAGAACTAAAGAAAGCTGGAGGAGCAGTTTGGGTCTCGCCACTGGCAGACTTGGAAGTAGAAGCATTAAATTCAGATATAGTGTTCCCTACAGTAGCAGTTTCAACAGGTTTTACACTAAACAGGCCACCAATTGAATTGCTAACAGCAGTCTCACTTGATTTAGGTCCAGCAATAGACTCCAAAGCTGACGCTGAGGTAGACAGAACTGCAGAAGATCCGAATTGGAAACTGGAACCAAAAGCTGATGGAGCAGATGTTGAGGTAGAAAACTGACTACTGCTGCTCCCAAAGTTTAGCAAGCCCCCAGTAGTAGCAGAGCTGAACATGGTTCCTGCCGAAGTAACTGAGGAAAAGGTTGATACAGCATTGCCATTAGAAACAGAGAGTGATGGCGATGGTGAAGACGACACTGACACGGGAACTGTAACCTGATCATTTGAACTACTTGAAGTTTGAACGGGAGATGACACACCCATTGTCCCAGATAACGTACTGGATAATCCATTGCTAAGTGTTGCACCATTTGATTGTGTTCCAAAGGAAAATAAACCTTTGGCTGAGTTTGCCACAGAAGAAGGGTCACCCTCCATTCTCTTAGAAACATCCCCAAAATGAAGGGTGTTCTTCTTGACCGTATCAGGTCCATCTGCTTCAGTTGCACTGGAAATAGCAATAGCCATAAGTATTCAAGTCAAAGAGAAAGCATCAGAGTCTAACATAATTGCACCAAAAAACAAATAAAAATTTACTATAAATTCAAGTTCAAGAAATATCTGAGAGTGGCAAGTATTGTAGTAAAGCGCGCTAGCCCGTGTACGTTAATCTGCTAATTTGTGCAACTGTTCTAACTATAGCCACTCCAGCCAATGGGAAGGGAGGATAAGCTAGTCACATATATAATTATTTTCCAATGGTAAAACATACCACTCTCCTCAAGCCCTGAAGTACAATGACAAAGTTTATAGCTAATATCTATCAAATTTCTCCAACAAGACCTTCATTATAGTCCATAATATAAAAAATTCTCAGAAGCCAAGAAAAAGCTCAAGTCTAAAACACAAGTTATTTGTTGTTTTGCCAAAAATCAGATTAACAGAGGTTCAAACATTATGTTCCCATTCTCATTTAGCAGGAGTCAACTTTCACCTCAGTCTGATTTTCTATTCTAGCCAAGTAACTTGGAAGTAGAATGACAAATGGATACAAGGGTAGAACTGTAAATGCTTCTTACAGAGTCCTTAGACAAAATACTAACAATCGAAGGTAGGAGTCTACTTTCCAAAATAGAGTGTAAGAGAGCATTAAGTACCTGCTTGGCAACTCTGACTTAATGTCCTTTGCAGATGCAGAGTTTGAGCTTGTTGCAATGATATCATTTATTTTTTCAGTCTGTCCAGCAACATTGTTCATTTCCGCAGTTGAAAGAGGATAACTTACTGCAGCTTGTGTACTAGTGCTAGTTGATAATGATGCTGAAAATCCAATAGGAACAGAAAAGCCAGAAAATGTTTGTGCAGCAGCAAACCCATCTGTTGGGGACTCTTTTATTGAGCCCGATGAAATTGTTGATGATTTTAATTCTGGAGCTAGAGGACTCCCAGCTGAGATTGCCACACTTTGAGGGTTATCAGAGATGGAAGCAGAATTTTTAGCCAACTCATGGTCTTCCACTCCTTTAACAAATGGAGTTGACGCAACACCATTTGCATGAACATCATCATCCAGCTCCAGATAGTCCTAGATGAGACAATATAGCAAACTTTTATCAAAATATTATCATCAGAATATAAAAAGAACAAAACACAATATTCAAGATCTACACTTCAAAGACAGAACTATAACAAAAACTATTAAAATTCAACACCATGGTGCAGACAACTTTAGCCAATAGAGAAGACATGCAGATAGTATTTCAAAGGCAATATCACTTGTGTAGGCAAAAATTAAACATTTTCCATTTACAACCACAAGAAACTGAGTCAATCTAGAAATTACATTTCCATTGCAATCACATTCAAAAAAAAATATCCAAGTTCTCTATAGCAAAGAGTATGTCCAAGTTGAGTGCTTGCAAATGAGTGGAACTTGTTGATCAAATATAGATGCATTAATTAATTACAAAGGATGCAAAAATGGCTAAATGAGTCAAACTAGAAATGTGGACATTCTATTTCAAAGAGGGCATAACTATGCATAAAATAAAACCTAAACTAAATTGTGTCCATTGATTCCATACACACATACAATGTACAATTTATCTTGACATACATACGAACAAAAGGAGTGTGTTTAGTATTAACTAAAAATGAGGTCAAGGATAATCTAGTTCCTATACAGGATGCAGCAGAGAGATAACGAAATAAATACCTCATGAGCACTCATCTGAAATGCCCGTTTTTTCTGCGGATGGTCATAATTTGACCGAGGATTCTTAAAATCCAGGGCCTTAGTAGGTCTTCCAGCCTCTTCACCTTCCTCAACAGAGGGAACAGACTTGTGAAAGCTACCTTCTACCCTTTGTGAAATTTGAAGTGACTGATCAGGTGCATTAGAAGAGTCGACCAAACCACTCTCCTTCCTACTGTCTTCAATAGTCTGCAAAACCTTCAGTGAATCTGTATTCATGCTCTTACGAGCCAATCCATCTCGCATATCAGTTGCCATCTTCCCAGATGAACTTCCTCCTACGATGTCGAATTTCTTCTCAGGAGACTTCCCTTTTGAAGAGAATTTGTCAAGCTGTTGGAAGATCTTTCGAGCCGTTTCAATAGACTGCGGAGGAACACTTTTATATCTTGTATTATGCATGTCATTGTCTACAAGTGCTTTTGATGAACGGAGGTTGGCACTCCCATTAATAGAAGAGGGCACTTCAGTAGCATCTGTAAGAAACCCAGATCCTTGTTTTACATGTGTAGCACCAGAAACAGGCTGAGACAAGGCTTTATAGTGCAGAAGATTAGGCTTTTGACGGATCCTACGTATGGGACCAACAAATCCTATATCACTTTCCAAGGCAGAACTCCTGCGCTTCAGAACCTGACAAAAGTAGAAACCAAAATTAGCAAGCACACATCACACCTACAAAGGCTACAACCAATATCTCATAGATAGATATTACCTGTCTGTTAGATCCACTAAGCTGTTGAATCTCCGTTGCATTATGAGATGATGATGACGCACCATGGGCACCATAAGAAGTTTCAGCAGCCTGAATCATGCACATAAATATAAGCAAGCACTAATGTGACTCAACAAATTTCAACAGATTTTCTAGAGCAAACCTTAAACACTTCTGTAGGATGAGGCCTGGAATATGGTGTACGAGCCATACTGTATATTGCAGATCTTCCTCTATATCTAGGGGTCATAAAACCATTAGCAGCAGCTCCAATCTCATTGGCAGGCTTTTGAATAAGAGATGTGGCTGGAGATTTTGGTTGAAAAAATGGATTATAAGAAGCAGATAAGTCCTCTCTCGGCACTGATGGAGATGCTCTCGTAGGCCTGCTACCCATGTATGCTTTAGCAAGCTCAGCAGGGGAAGCAACAACATCTTCAAGTACCTAGATACACAAAACATTTGCATGGGAAAACTCAGCATGACCATTTCAAATATAAGAGGAGACAGAAGTCAAAACAATTAGAATCTCAAGATATATCCCACCTTTGATCTCGTGACAGGAGTAGTGATGGCTGCAGGGAGTACACGCTCTGCTCCATTCTCATTAGCAGGATAATTAGTTAGAATTTCACATCTATTATGAAAAGCTTTCTCGTCTGAAGAGTTGGGTTCTGAACTTCCCTTCTCATTTTCAACCAGATTATCAACAGTTCTTGACTTCAATAGTGCAGTTAGATGATCTATCTCAGACCTGGGGGCCAAAAGAGAAAGAGAGAGAGATATAGACGGATTAGGGCAATGTTAAAGTCCATATTTGATACTCCACACACATGAAATGCCAATTTGCTTTACCAATAGTACATCTCAATGTTCTACACTGTCTCTAAATTGAATTTAAAAGTGGCTACAAATATTCAACCAAAACTCAAAATTTATATCATGATAACTTGCCCACTTATCATTGTACACAAGTCCATGCCTAGCTAACAACTTTTAAAAAGCAGATAAAATTAAACAACCCAGAGATTGCACTTTCACTTAAGCCTTATTGGGCTTATTCCATTATTCATCTAGGTTGACAAGAATCAATGCTTCTAAAGTTCTAAGAAAAAAAGGAGGGAAAGAAAATTTAATCTGATCATATGTACCACATTTAGCTTTTGAAATCAGATTTTGGTTACATTTGACTGTTAGCATAATATTTTTATAGAAGACTATCAGAAAGTGTAGTGATCCAAAAGATGAAAAGCAATCTTCCTGTATTTTAATAATTTTAATTTCATTTGAAGCTTTCTATATAATTCATCTAACTTAACTGGGATTGCTCACATAAACAAAATTCTAAGAGAACATAATTTATAAATTGAATGTAGGCAACTGAAATATGTAGTACCAAAGTGGATAAAGTGTATTGTATTATGTAAAAAAATTTAATCCCTTCAAAAAAAAAAGTAAAAATTTTAATTTCCACAAAAAGGGACAACCAAAGAAGGATGGTAGAGAAAATTTTCAGGTTTTACTGGAAAGAATAAGAATTTTCCCTCATCACCATCTATGATTTTGAAAAGAAACACCAACAAGCAAGAATATGTCTCACACTCAAAGTGGTCTCCATCATACTGTGGTAAAGAGTAGAAGTAAAGATCTCCTCTTAACCATTTCTTAATAGTGTCAAAATAAAACAAAAACATACCCGCGGGTGGGGGGGGGGGGGGGGGGAATTTGCCAACACAACCTATATTCAAGGCAAGATTTATTATATTATTACCATGCAAATAACATTAGCAAAAAACTAACATTAGCAAAAAACTAACAGGACTTGCCTAGTAAAGGTCTTTTGCTTCAAAATATCCTCCAAATCTGCAACCTCACCGCTCCGAGATACTCTGCTTGGATCATTACCTTTAGAAGCAACTGCTTCTTTGTTGCCAGAAGGGCCAACCTAGTCAATATGAATTAGTGATGAGCTGTAACAGAAAATATATATGGTCCAAGGGTAGTGACAAGTAACAACAATTTAAGAGCACAATGATAAGTTTACACAAAGGTCATACCGTCAAAGTAAGAGCATCGATATAACTATTTTCTCCGAATAACATAGCTTAAATTCAGATAATTGAAAAGTGATTTGAACAGATATCAGTCATACATTTTATTTATCCTAGCATTCCAATTACAAAAGTTTTGCCGCTTCAGTTAAACCTTGTAATATTGACAATTTTTCTTATCAGATCAACTCAGATTTATACATACAACTACTAAGGACAAATACAACATATTTAAATCTTACTTCCAGATCTCATTTTAACTAATTAAATAAAACTATAAATTGTTTGGGCCCCATTATAATATTCAGTCCTTATCTCAAAACCAACTAAATGGACCTCATCGAATTCAAAGAAATGGGACATTGGGGGTGCGGATTTCCCTGACCCTACCCTCCCCCTTCAAAACTCACTCAAAGACTTGCCTGCATATTTGGGTTGGGTTAATCCGTGACATGTGAAGGGTTCTTAGTTTAGTGATCCTTATATACCAAAACCAAATAAATTGAGTTATTGACCCTAGGGTGGGTGGAGATTCCCCATATCCTCAGCCAAACCCCCCAACTCAAAAATTTAGCCTATGAATTAGGTCACCCTCCCCTCCTTTCCCCTCACCCCACTCAAAGGCTTGGCTTGGCCTGTGTGTAGGGCTTGGTTAACCTGTGAAAGTTGTGAGGGACAATCTAGCAGAGTCTCCCTTACCCAGCAAAATAAAATGGACCCTCACACTTTCTTTGATTGCTATATTGCATATATGAATATGAGCTTCACCAAAACAAAGCCAAATCAATCTAACTCCAATCTATTACAAGGAATCATTTACGTAGGACATCTAAAGTACTGTAAGGCGTCCGAGCATCTACAATTTTCTTTCAAATATGAAATTGCAACAATGACTACCATGTTGCTATATACAACCTACTTCCTCCATCCAATTTATTTGCCACATGTAATACTTAGACATCCCAAATTACATGCTATACAACATTAAATCATTTTTCTCCACTTTATTATGATAGTTATGCCCCAAATTGCTTGCCCACTTTATTCTCACTACATTTTCACTTCAATCAAAAAAAAAATTGGGCCAAACAAATGTCGCAAGAAATTTTAAACAACACAGAAATATTATTCGGAAATATAGAAGAAGAATATCTGTAAAGTTAGGTCCAATACTAAAGAGGCATACACTATCACACTCACTAGAATACATATTCTATTCTTTATTGTGTATGGAACAGTTTTTTGATTCAAAAACATGAATTTTGAATAGGCAAAAATAATATCGTCATTAAGAATACAAATTTAAAAGTATAGCAGATAGGCAAGACATGTACAATATATGAGACATACATTTGTCGTGGTTTCTGGCTGCTCGTCCACTATCTCTGGCGTCTCATCTATATAAATGGAAAAAGTCAAATGGAAATTACTCAGATCAGAATTTCAGATTTATATTTGGCTTGAGTTTAAATATAAAAAACACAATTTTAAACATCACTATTCAATTAGACGTGTAAACTAAAATCAAGATCAAAATAGCAACAACAATAAAACCAGATTAGAATCATACATTAAAATCTTAATCAAGGTAACCTTAATCAGTGCAAACAACCGCCAATGCCAACCCCATCACTTTTATCACAACTAGTTATGACGGTACAGCATTCAAATGTAATCAAACACGACATCAACACCAAAACAGGACAGATTATAAACTTGGACGATAATTTAGAGCAAGCAAATACAGGAAATCAGCTACTAATAAACTACACACAACCTAAAAAAAGTAAGACAACATCCCCAAAATACAATCACTTTTTACTTCACACCTTCACGGCTTCTGAATCTATAGAAGATACCTTAATAACCTTATAAGCAAGCATTTTCAGCAAAACGTTCAAATGACATTTAAGTTAAACAATTCTAATCAATCATACATTCCTCCTTTCCCTAATAACCAATTCCAAGTTCCCAGATTACCCAATAACCAGATTCCAAAAGTACCCAATTTTCCCAAATTAATCAATTCCCAAATCCCAAATTAAGCTAAAACACAAAAATTAAAACAAAACCCATCATTCCCAAACACAAATCCCAAATTATTCAATTCAAAAACAAATTATTAAGCTAAATTCGCAATAAAAACAGCCCAAATATCAGAAGAAAAAAAAATAGAGGGGGGGAACAGTAAAATACCATGAGAAGATTGCGGAGGTGGAGGAGGAGGAGGAAGAAGGCGTTTCCGAAAGACGGAAGAAAAAAGCTTGTGAGCACCAGCAGTGATAAGGCGTGAAGCTGGATCGACAAGCTTCGAAAGCCAACCATTATTCTCTCTTTCAGCGGCAGCACCGACGAGCTGAGTAGGGCGTAAAGCAGTCGGCGGCCTATCGTAAGGCGTGGCTTGGGTTCGTCGAAAGGGCTTCTTCCGGAATTTGCCGCCTGCTCCGGCGCTTGCCTCCGACGCCATGGATTTGCAGAGGAGAGAGAAAGTGAGAATGCGAAGAAGAGGAGAGAGAAAGTGAAAGAGAGAGAAAAAGTAGAGTGGAATTAGGGTTTTGCGAAATTGCAAAATTTGGATGTTGGTGCGGAAGAGAGAGGGAGAAATTCTGAATCCTGATTTTTTATTTTTTATTTTTTTGGCTTTTTTTTTTATTATCTTTTAACCCGTTGTGGCTTGTGGGTAATTAGTTTGGAGAAAATCCTCGTTAACATGCATATTAATGAGGAGCGAGCGTTTATATGGGGGCAATGCACGTCATTTCGCCATCTATATTAAGGGTAAAGTCATCAACAACAATTGGCGAGTTAACGGAAGAGTAGTGGAGTTAAGTCTTAACAATCTAACCCTGTCAAAAAAAAAAGTCTTAACAATCTAACGCCATGTTTGACCTCGTTCAACAATCCTCATCAGCTCCTATTAGGTTGTTAAGAGCAACTCTAATGGTTGCTTTTAGGGACTAGCTTACAATTTTAATAATTTTCAAGCTAATAGCTAAACCATTGGAGGAAAGTTTAATAATTAGCTTGGTCAAGCTAATGCCAAGAAAATTAGCTTAGCTAAGCTAATCAAGTTAGAAATTAATTGTCTCTAATAAAATACTAATTATTTAAAAAAATAAAGCTGAAAAATCTAAATGCTAATTAGCTTAACCATTGTGGCATAAATTAGCTAGAATGAAATATAGTTTTGTAATCCTAGGTGGCATGGCAAGCTAATTTGATAATTAGCTTTTCGTTGGAGTTGTTCTAATGGAGGTAGCTAGCAGTAACTTGGTGAAGAATTGAAGTGATATTACTAGGTAGTTGTTGAGGCGACCAATTGTAGTACCGATTATAAAGGGTTAAGGAGGTGGAGGCGGCGGCTACAGTACCGGTGAACAATTTTGTGGAGCTAGGTTTTTGAAAGGTATGTGTCGTATCCTTCCTAATTAGACCTTATGACAAGAATGGAGTAGAGAAGAAGGAGGAGAGCAAGTTGTTCGTGTTCTCCAAATTCAACACCAACGGGGTGAGCTTGTGATTCCCAAAATGAAGACAAAACGGGATTAAAATTGACCGTTAACCATGGAATAACGTCCGCAGTTATGTGCCAACTCAGCTCCAACCATGAAAATATTAAAATAATTGAAAGATGCTTGATGAATTGCAAAAATGTCATCATATTAACAAACTTCGTTAATATGGCATATTAACCGGGGGAAGCTCATTAGTTTGAGTGAAGATAAAATTAATTAATCGCTTTAAATCTGTATAATAATAATAATAATAATAATAATAATAATAATCCCTTTAAAAAAAGATAAAATTAATTAAGAGTAACACAAATTATTGGATGAGGCGGGAGTAAGAGATATCTCAAGTGATTAGAGCTTCCGGATCGATTCTCATCAAATGCAATCGGATTCGATTAATTTTTTCTGTTATATGCAATCAAATTCAATTATTTCTTTTTAGTTAACTGACATGTTTCCTTAAAAAAAAAAAAAGTTAACTGACATGTAAATTGAATGTTGTGTGTATGGTGAAACTATTATCATCATTAACATTGATTATAGAAATAGAAATTATTTGTCAATGGTGTGAGCATCTTGATCGATTTCGATAAATGAAGTTTACAAAGGAAAATTTTGTAGGAATAATCTCACCATTTACATCTCTTCTGATATTGGTCCAACCTTTTAATTTGCACAATATAATCCGACCTTTAACACTCATCTTTTGCTCCATTACCTATATAATGGTTACCTGTAGAACAAGTTAATTGGACACTTGTCTTTTTTTATTGGTTCCAATCTTTTAATCAATACAGAGTACTAAAACAAAACATGCTGATATCATCCCTCCTCCAAATTGTACACATATCACTCTCACATAAATTTTTTTTCCCGCCAATTTGCTATTACAATGTCATTAGTTTTATTTTTATTTTAAACTTTTTATCTTTGTTTTCTATCTAATAAACCTTTCATATGCTTTACCCTTTGTCCCTATCAAATCCTTTAAACTAGTAGTTTATTTTAAAATTGTGCATCGCACGTAAATTAAACTAGCTAGTAGTTTATTAAAAAGTAAACTATGTGACAGGATGGAATTAATAATAATAATAATAATAATAATAATAATAATAATAATAATAATAATAATAAAAATAATAATAATAATGGGATTGTGGTCGCGATGTTTGTGTTGATTTGACAGGGTCTTCTCCATTGACACAGTCTGGACTATCTGACTTTGTTCCTGGACGGGTGGTGACTGATGCGGCCAATCGGAAGCGGGTCAAGTATGAATTGAATCCAGTTGTCGTGCGATTGGATATGGCTTTCTTCCTTTCTCTTTCTCTTCTCTTGGGGAGTTAGAAAAGGAAGCTGTTGCATTGCTGAAGCGGATCCAGAGGTTCTCGGACATTGGGGCGCATGCTGCAACTCATATCTTTACTAGGATCGGCTTTTCTATAGCTAGAGGAGTGGGGGGGGCCCAGATTGTATCTCGACTTCCCACTAAATTTCTATAAGTTGTATAATTTTGTATTTTTTGAGAAATAATAATAATAATAATAATAATAATAATAATAAATAATAATAATAATAATAATAATAATAATAATTGTAGTGATTATGTGAGGGATCATAATTAAGATTGTAAATTTAATGTTAAAACGTTGTATTGTTATTTAAAAAACAAATAGTTGCATTAGGGAAGTGTAATAGTAAATTTATTTAAGTTTAAAGACATTGTAAGCCACAAATTAATGATGCATCATGCAAGTACTATATCAATCTAATTTGTAAAATCTGTAATATCTAAAATTACAGGAAGTATAATAGCTAACGACTTGTACAACAAGAGAGTTTTTTTTTTTTTTTTTTTTTTTTGGCAGAGGTGAAAACTCATAGACATACAAGTAGCTTAGTTCGACTTCCTTGCTTTGACAGCAAGCAAGTGAGCTTTATTGACATTTAGTCTATCTACTTTTATGCATAAAACAAAAGCTCTCTTTCCCGCTTCTCTATGGATGTCTGTAATTATGTTACGGGTTTCAAGCTCTACCTTGCTTGGGCACTTCAAAGCTGAGATGGTCACACTCGAGTCAGATTTAATTACAACATTTGGAATGTCCGGAGGGATCTTTTTCAACGCGATAAGAACAGCTAAGGCCTCTGCCTGATTTGGTGATGAAGCGAACACTCTGACTGCTCCTTGAATGTGCTGTTGATCCATCATCTCTAAAGCCCAGGCTACTGCAGCCTCCCACTGTGTGTCGTCTTTTTTCTTTCTTCTTTTGCACGCCGCATCAACACACACCGAGGAAAATTGGTTCCCTGAGATTTCCCCTAGTCTCCATAGGAGCATAGGACGAGATTTGCCGAACTCTATCTGTCTTTCCCCGATATGGCTTGATACTAAATCCGTGGCCTTTTGCCACCTAGTGACATGTATCTGTACTGCCGTCATGACTGATGTAGGGTCAGTACTCACGTCTCTGAAAATGATATCATTTCTATGACTCCAAATAGCCCATAAAACTGCAACAAACATGGTAAGTCTAACTGAATTTTTTTTCTAAGTCCCGCAAGCAATAGCTAACAAAATTAGTTACCCATTCCCTGCAAGAAAGAAAAGTAGGATTAGTCGAGAAAATTCCCAGTTGGGAGGCCTTCCAAACTCGCTTGGAGATTTCACACAGTTTGAACAGGTGGTTCATACTCTCCTTCTCGGATTTACAAAGAGGGCAGACAGTGGAGGTTTCCACTTTCCTTTTTTCCAGATTATCCATGGTGGGAACTATATTCTGGGCTATTTTACAAATGAAGTGCTTCCATTTAGGGGGCAGATTGCATTTCCAGAATTTTTTCCAGAAATTTGGCTTATTTGGGAGCCAAATCTTTGGAGCTTGTCTGTGGACCATAGCCCAGTATCCTTATTTGAAAGAGAATTCTCCATTTTTCTCTAGGGTCCACGTGAGTGAGTCTACTTGGCTCTCCTCTGGAATATAGGTTGCTAGAATTCCCCTGGCCACTTCGTCTTCAAAAAGCCCGCCATACCAGTTCTGCATTCCACCTCCTATCCGAGGTCATCAAATCCGACACCTTTGTGATCCCTTGCATTTCCTCAAGGTGTCTAAATTGGATTTTCCTATTGCTGACCCAAATATCCTGGACTATACTGACTGAGTCCCCGCTTCCTATTCTTCTACCAATATGGTGTTTGAAGGAGGCAGCAGCTCTTACCAAGATTTTTGCCGCCCAAGAGCCTACTACAATTTTTTTCCCCGTGATCCCTAAGGTGATTGGATCATTGCCATATTTAGCTTTGAAGATTTTACTGGCTAAAAGAGAAGGATTGCAATAAAACCTCCAGCTTTGTTTCATTAGAAGACTTTTATTTATGGATGCAACATCCTTTAGGCCTAATCCCCCTTCAGATTTGTGCATAAAGAGCACTTCTTTTTTTCTCCAGCATATGCCTTTGTAGGTAGTATTAGAACACCACCAAAACTTGTTGATTAGGGAATTGATCTTGGATGTAATACGACGGGGACACCAGTAGAGCGACAGGATATGGTGTGCAATCGCTACTAGAATTCCATTAATCAATACAAGTTTCCCTGGTTGATTCAGAGAAACAAACTTCCAAGAGGAGATTTTCTTTTGGATTCTCTCTAGGAGGTAATTAAACTTAGTGCTTGTCCTGCCATCAACATCAATTGGGCAACCAAGGTAGATCCCTAACTCCTTGGAGCTCTTAACTTGAATAGGCTGGCTCATTAGACGAACAAATCGAGCTGGCGTATTGGGGCTAAAGAGGATTGCCGATTTGTTTTCATTAATAACCTCCCCTGATAGAAGACAGAATTGATCCAAAACATTTTTTACACACCTACAGGAAGATGGCGTTTCCTTGAAACACAAGAGCGCGTCGTCTGCGAAGAAGAGGTGATTAATTGGGGGGGAGCTTCTGGCTACCTTGATACCCTGTATCACTTTCGAGTCTTGGAGCGCGCTTAATTTCCTTGAGAGGACCTCCATTACCAAAATGAAGAGGTAAGGTGAAAGCGAATCACCTTGGCGAAGTCCGGCTCTTGGTGTGAAGAAACTTGTAGATTCCCCATTCACCAGAACTGCATAAGAAACTGTTGAGATGCATTGTAAAATCCAGCGTATCCAAGTCCCCGGGAACTTCATTTTCTCCAGGATGGTTTTTATCAAATCCTAGCTAACTCGGTCATAGGCCTTACTTAAGTCAATCTTTAGAATGCCTTCAAAGCGGCCTCCTTTCTTCCTTTTTACTGCAGAGAGAATTTCGTGGGCTATGTAACAATTGTCGATCATAAGCCGTCCTGGGATAAAGGCATTTTGAAGATATCCTATTAAGTCAGGGAGGATGT